ATATATGAGAAACATTGAATTTTAATATTTCAAAGATTCCCACCAAACTTCTTTTATTAGCAATGAATAAATTGCAGTTTTCATGTAAGAATATGCTTGCATGAGAGTGAGCCCATCCCAAAATTAGTGACAAAAAATGATTTTGTGTTCTCCAAATTTAAATGTTATTGAATATATATAAATATATTCAAAATTAGTGATAATAAATGATTTTGTGTTCTCCAATTTTAAATATTATTGGAGAACACAAAATCATTTATTATCACTAATTTTGGGATGGGCTCACTCTATATTGTCTCAAATACTTGCAGATGTTTTCAAATTAATATTTTTTTTTATAAATTTTATTTTTCTATAGTATGGAATATTTTTCTTTGTAAATATTTTTTTAAATGAAAAGAAAAATTTCACAACAAAATTACCTATCCCTAGTATAAAATTTCTTCAAATTATCATATTTTGTTGCCCCTTGACCATAGTTGGCAAAAATGCATATTATACATGTATAATACACATACATACATATATTATTAATACTAACACTATTAAAAAGTTATGTTTATCATACAAGTTTCGAACTTAACAAAAAAATGAATAATACTCGCATTTTTTTTAATTCTCTAGTATAAAACAAGTATTAAAGGTTTTATGCATCATACGTTATAAAAAATATTTCACTTAAATAAAATATTTGAAAAGTTTACATTGTCTTTGTTATAATATATTGTATAATATATTGTTACTATATTATATAATATATTCTAACAATGTATAAGATATATTATTACTATATTGTAGAATATATTCTAACCATGTATAAGTTATTATACATTGTTAGAATATATTTAGTTACCATATACATAAATGATTTACTTGTTCATCACACATAACCCCTCCTGTATAAACTATACATCTCTTATAATACATCAATACAATACAAAGTTCTATACTCTCTTTTATTTATGGACTAGGATCTTAGGATCTTGTAAGTTAAAATTTATTTACATTATCTTAAGTTGAATTGTTATAATTTTAATAAGTATTATTTCACCTAAATATAGCTTGAAACGCCAATGTTTTGAGAAAGAAAAATAGCTTTATGTTTCCAACCACCACCTCTCTTATAAGAAAAATAGCTTTATGTTTCCAACCACCACCTCTCTCTATCAGTATTTTTGGTTTGATTTTTTTTTTTTTTCTCGTTTCATCTCATGCAACCTTGGATCTCTTCACCTTTCCTTGTCTTACCTCTATTCTGCTCCTTCTAATTTCCATTTCTCTATTATCTAAATCGATGAGATAATTGTGCTCTTTTGAATATATAATTTGTTGATTATAGCAAGTTTCCATCACGATCACTGCAAATTTGCAAACTTTACCACCAATTCTGTACCAATCCCAATTTACTTCAATTCCTCCAAAATTTGAAGTATATACACACAACACAGAAGGAATAAACTAGAGAGAGTAAATGTCACGGCTGGAAACGGAAGCCCGGTTAGGTACAATAGGCGGTTGCCCATCCAAGTTGTAACTAAGCCGGATCCTGGCTCAGAAGGAAGGCTAGCTAGATGTTTAAGACACGCATTTCCTAAAAGAGCTATGGAATGTACTCAATTAGCACAATCATCAATCTCGGACAAATTGCACATTCTTGGTCACTTAGCAGCTACTTAGCTTAGTCAAATGCATCTTATCATGAGAGAAAGATGAAAAGCAAATCGGCAAATCGGTGAGTTTGAAGAAATTTATCGGTTAACCGTTTCTTTTTTGTTCATCGGTCAAACAACTTTAGTTACCTATCAAAGTTTCTAAGATTGGACTTAGGATAATGTAAAGAAGTTTTAATTTAGAGGATCTTAATTCTACTTCTAAGATTGATAATGTATAATAGTTTTAACTAAGAGGATCCTAATCTTTTATTTTTACTGTTATAATATACTGTAGAATGTATAATTACTATAGTTGGTAATATATTATAACCATTTATAAGATTACCAAATATGGTTTAGGTTCTTGCTCTCTACACATCTCGTCAGCTATATAAATCCATTGTGTATCTTCATAAACAATCTGGTAAACAAATTAAAATATATTGTATAATATATTATAGCCATGTATAGGATATATTATTAATATATTGTAAGCATGTATAGGTAATCCTATAAATAGTTAGAATATATTTAGTTACCATATATATATATATATATAGGGTTTACTATAAACCCCTCGTTTTATACCATCTTTAACCATTTTATTAGAAGAAAAAAATGAAATTTTAAATAACTAGCGTGCAATAAGAATAACATAACCAATAATTAACTAAACATTTTATTTTCTCATAACTAACTACTAAATAAGTAGATCGTATTTTGTTAAAATTATATAATATTGTAAATATCTAGAATATTTAAGTTTCACATAACTAACTACATAAATATCTAGATACTTTGTTAAATATTATGATGAATTTAGGGAGACCATTTTTTAATGTTTGCACTACAATCTTAAATAAAATATCAATTATAGCCCTAAGCAAATAATTATTACTTTTTAAATAACACAATTGCCATTTTAGATTTCCTCTCCCTATCTCTAATCTTTTTAATTTTATAGGTCATTTTGACAAGACCAAAAAAAAAAAAAAAAAAATCAAAAATTAATAAAAAAAAAAAGTTACCAAAAAATGTTAACTTTGTTGAATAAATATTCCTTTCGATAGTAAAAAAAAAATAAAAAAGAAAAAAAATAAAAGGTCATTGTAGAATAAATGATCTCTTTTAATCTCCAAATATAAAATTATTTGTATGAAAAATAGGTAGAAAGGAAAAAAATTAGTAAAGAAAGTAAAAAAAAGTTAAAGTTATATAAAAAGTAGTTATGACATTATAAAGTAAGAGATGATGCATTAATAAATTTAATGAATAACCTTTTTGTTATTTCCTTTTAAAGAAAAAGGTAAATGGAGTACAATAGAAGAAAAGTGGAGTGCCGCCTCCCATAATTTATAACTATGTAATTATACATATTTTGTTAAAATTATATATCGATTAATGAAATAAAAATAAATATGCATTTCAATAAATATTTATGACCATAAATTCATGTCATTACTTAATAATAATAATAATCATAATAATAATATTGGGATATAATGTGAAAAATAGAAAATATATATTATAAAAATAGAAAAACATATAAACTAATAATATATAATGACACTATATTTTTCATAATGAAATTTCTATTAGCATTCGTATTATACAAGCAGTATACGCATATGTGTATATTTTCGTATTATACAAGCAGTATACGCATATGTGTATATTTTTACTGTTTAAGTTATTTTATGTTAAAATTTTAATCATATTTTTAAAGGAAATCATACTATACTCGTACATTTATATAGAGATATTTTATTTATTTTTGTATCATTTTTTACTAACTAAGTCCACATAAAGAAAAAAAAAAAAGGAAGAAGAATGTAGAGAGACAGAAGAGAGTGGAGAGAGGCAATGCGGGGAAGTAGTTTATGCATAAAAGTGAGGGCTTTTACGGAAATCTAGAAGTCTTCCCGCCTTTGGAATCTACCAGTTCACAGAGTCAATTACTAATGGACAAACGTGTGCGACGTCATCCACGGCACGTGTGACTCAGGCACATTCATTGTACAATCTATTTGTCGTACGTGTTGGAGCCTAACTTGGCACGTGTTGGATCCTGACCCAACACGTGCCAAGTTAGGGCTGACGTGGCGAATCCTTTGCGCTTCGGCAACCTGCGATTCCTTCCATAGATCTATGCTTTTATTCAACATTACTATTATTGTTATTTTTTTCCGATGAGAAACCTAAATTTTAATTTAATGAGAGTGAAAAGCAAATATTAGAGGGATATTTCAAAAAGTTTCATTTTATAAAACGGTTTTTTAGAATTTAGATTAGAATCTACAAAATTTATAATAAAAAATTTAAAGGTATCACAATATGATTTAGGCATATTTAAATTAGGATTTCACAAATTTTCGTATAAAAATGTCTCACAAAAATTTGAAAGCGGAGGAAAATTTCAAAAATTTAATTATATTTCAAATTCAAATTGTGAATTCAGTATTTCTAAACGTAACTTTTAATAATTTATCTATATATTTAAAATTTATCAATTTCATTGAAACATTATATTTGAAGTTTATTTATAAAGAAAGTTGAAATTAAATTCGGTGAAATTCTAATTTAAGACTTTTCTTTTGATTTGTAAAATTTATCTGCTGCAAAAAAAATATGTAAGTTTGTCGTCATGTCCAGCATTACTCATTTTTGTTTAAAAAATAAAAAAGGAAAAGAAAAATATGAAGTACTAGCACCAAAGGCCTATTTTATTTTGTCCGAAATAGAACAAATTTTTTATTGTATAGTGTGTTTAATAGCAAAATTATGAGTACATGTTTGACGAAAAAGTTTTGCATGTTTAAAAAATAAAATAGTTAGTTTAAAATATTATTTAATTTTATGCTTTCAATTTTAAATTATTTTCAAATATACATACAATATTATTGAAACCGTAACAAACTATATTCATACTTTACTTTCTTATATTATAACATTAATAAAAAATTAAAAGAAAAACAATTGCCAAACATTCATAGTCATTGTGTGATATTAACTTGAAAAATGGTCGGATTTTTTTCCTTAGGTGGCCGACTTTGTGCCACTAATGGATGAGACATCAATTTATAAATGTGTCCGTCCACTTTTAATACTCTTCATTTTTAATAGGTTTATTTTACAATTTTATTTTTGTAAAAAAAAAAAAAATCAATTTATGATTATTATTATTTTTTGATATCATAGTTTTTATAAAATATAATTTTATTTTTTTTATTATTGTCTTTGATAATCTTATTTTATTTCTTCTCTGACTTTTATTGGTGGTGTCTGTATATCATGCGCGGATGCGAAAGAACATTAAATTGTGGTTTAAAGCGCTGTTGAGATACGTTCTCTTTACGGCTCTGGCTTTCACTTTCTCTCTCTACGTCGACGGATTTTCCACAACGAAACAACGAAAGAAAGATACCAACACTAGTAATCAATCAATTCTAAAGAGAGAAAAGCAAAGAAAGAAAGACACACCAAGCGAATTTCTTCAGAAACCCTAATTCTACTAGGGCACTAGAATTTCTGCCCCACTTCTCTTCTGTTCTCTATTCTTTTTCGAGAATTTTATCATTCTCTAATACCAGATCTGTTTGCTTCACTTTTCTTTCGTTGAGGTGTATTTGCCGCCGATACCGGAAGGAGACGAAAAACCCTAGGTTTTTGGGGTGTGGTGTGGCGTTGTGCCCCATGCTATAGAGTGGTGGTTTTTCATGCCGCCGGAGCCATTGTCTTGGGATCGGAAGGACTTCTTCAAGGAGAGGAAGCACGAGAGGTTGTCGGAGTCGCTAGGTTCCGTGGCCAGATGGAGACAGACTCCTCACCGCTGGGGATCGGCCGATTTCCGCACCAGACCTCCAGGTGAGTTGTAGAATAATGGGGAATATATATTTCATTGACATGATGGTCTCAAATCTAGGGTCTTTTTCATATATCATGGTTTAGATTATTATTTTTTTCTATAATTAAAAATTTGCTGGCCAGGGTTTGAGCAGTTATGTGCAGAAGATTTTAAGTCTTCCCCTTAACCTCTCGGGCAAACCAGCGCTATAGATCTTTACTCAGATTTGGGAGAATTGTTCTCATGGAGATTGATTTTTGTATTGATTTTTGTTCTACCTTTATCTGATTTTGCTATTCTTTTAGTTAATTTTTTCCCTGTTTAAAATTTATATTCTTTCTGTTTAAAATGTTTTCGGTTGAAGGTCACGGTAAGCAGGGTTGGAACCTATTTTCCGAAGAATACAGTAATGGTTTCATGCCTACTCATTCAGACCCATCAGGGTTTCGCGGGGATGGAAAGTACATCAGGAACAGCAGGGAAAGGGGCTATTTTAGCCGGAATGATTGGAGAGGTCACCACAAGGAAACCGCATCTCCGTGTGATCGGGGCAGGCTGTATGACGGGAGTGATCAGAGGTCAGTTGACGATACTCATCCTCCCTCTGACTTTGTAAACTCATGGGACCAACTTAACTGCAAAGACCAGCATGATAAGATCAGTAGTGTAAATGGGTTGGGCACAGGCCAGAGATTTGAGAGAGAGAATTCGCTGGGCTCGAAGGATTGGAAATCTCTTAAATGGAGCCGCTCTGGCTTCTCCTCAAGGGGTTCTAGTTTCAGTCATTCAAGTAGCTCAAAGAGCATTGGAGTGGATTCCAATGAAGCCAAGGCTGATATGCTGCATGGGAATGCGACGCCCGTACAGTTACCTTCATGGGATGCTGGTGCCTGTATAACATCAACTGCTCCATCTGAAGAGAGTCATCCCAGTAAGAAGCCACGTCTTGGATGGGGTGAGGGACTGGCGAAGTATGAGAAGAAGAAAGTTGAAGGTCCTGATGGTGCAACCAAAAACGGAATGGTAAACTGTGCCAGTACAGATACAGAACCTATCCATTCTCATGTCCTAAACTCGGCTGAGAAAAGCCCTAGGGTTGCAGGTTTGTCAGACTCTGCATCACCTGCTACTCCCTCATCATTCTCATGCTGCTCATCACCAGGTAAATGTGGAGTTCTTATATTATTATTCTTTTGTCAAATTGTTATTCAGTTGTTCTTACTTGATTTTCATGTATATTGTACTCAATTATTGGATTCCTACATTCTATTTACTAAACCAACTTTATAGTGCCCAAACACTTTCTATTTTCTTACATAAAGAAAAAAATTATACTTGTACACCTTAACTTAAATTTCATGATCATATTTATAGAAATATTACATAATGGAAGCACATAGATTCCATTGATTTACATTATTACCTTGCTAGTATATTGATATTGTAACTGCCTATATAACTTTGAAGCCTCTCCAGTCACCAAGGCTGCTGATTCTCTGGTATCAATTGCATTTCATGTGCCACCTGTCAATGATTACTATGAGAAACTTAATAAGATAATTATTTTAGAACACTTCATACTACTTTCAGTTTGATGGCTGGTTTGCTTGAGAATATCAGACATGGATATACTACTTCAATTCCCCTGTCAAAAATAGATAAGTTTGTATCTAACTGTATAAAGGCGGGCATAGATCTATGTACAGGAGATGTTGTGCCTAATTAACTTCTGTCATTATGTTATACCATGTTTAAATGTTTACTCTTTATCATAAATTTATGGCATACCATGTTTAAATGTTTACTCTTTATCATAAATTTAGTGCCATAATGTTGGCTATCAAAAACTCTCGTTTACATGTGATACAATTTAAACCTTAATTTGTGAATGTGCATGGGCTTTAGTTTGAGTAGGTTGTTTTACTTTTCCCCTGTAAATTTTTTTATTTTTTATTTTTTTATCTTATTTATTATCAGTTATGATCAGAGTTTTTGTCTGGTTTGTGCTATCAATATATCTGGTTTGAACTTATTTCAAACTATATGTCAAGGACACATTGATATCATTACAATCTCCCCACTACCCACATGACAACCCATATTGCTCAAGGATGTTATTCTGGATCTCTTTCCTTTGCGCTTAGACCAGTGCCCCTACTTGTGCCCTTGTTATGTGAGCGCTCAAGTTGCACTTTAAAAATTATAAATAAAACCATGAACAAGCCTTAGATTAATGAAAAAATATAGTAAAACTGACACAACTTATATTAGATCCTGTTAACTTTATGCAAGAAATATACTTATTAGCATATAAACATTTTATGGTAAAGTGCAAAAAAACCCCACTGCTATATAAAAAATGTGCAAAAACACCCCTGCAGTTTAGTATGTGCATATAAATCCCTAAATTTGAAAATTTGTGCAAATTGCCCCTTGACCTCAATTTTGACCAATATATTTTTTATTTATTTAAATTCCAATATACCCTTAATAATCAATGTTTTATGAAATCAGTGTTTTATTTTTATTTTGTCTTGAGAGCATTTAAGTCATTTCAGTCTTCAAATTGACAAAGTGTTCATACTTGCTCAATTTGGAAAATGTAGGAGGGTTTTTTGAACACTAGGTGGGGTATTTGCACATTCGGTATATAACAAGGTTTTTTTTTTGCTCTTTACCCAACTATTTATTTACATAGTGCTAACCATGGTTATACTTTACAATATTATATGTAAACCATTAAAGATGAGAATTCGATGAATCATTATTTTATAATTGTATATTGCTAGAAATATTCAGTTTATGTAGGCAAACAAGTTCTGTTTTAATTTACTCAACCACTCTGCCATGGAAGGCTTTTTAGCAAAGACTGTAACACAAAAGTGGAGAACAAAAAATGAGTATTAAAATTTGCATGGATAAGAGATCAACTAGCTTGAAGCAATCTTAGAGTTTCCCTTTATTTACAAGGTAATGTTGCTTAAAGGTTTTTATGACCTCATTTCAAGTTACTTTTTCCCACTTTTTTATTTTAGAAGGGTAAAGTTTCTACGGATTTCTGATATTGTACTTGGTATTGACGGTTGAAATGTATTTCCCTGTACTAACTTTGTTGCAACCTGGTCAACATGTTTCTCAACTTTATTTATTTTTATTTTTATAAGTAACATGCTTCTCATTTTTGTTATTTTTAAGTTGTGAGAATTCTGTAAAATCTGCTTGTAGTACATTAAGTTATTCTGAGTGGGCTATTACGTGACCATCCATACTGATGTCTATATTTTTACCTCCTTTTGACAGGCGTGGAAGACAAGCCTTTTGTCAAAACAGAAGGTTTCGACAATGATACTGGTAATTTAGGTGGTTCGCAAAATATTGAGGTGCAGGATCCTCTTGATGGATTAGCTTTTAGTCTTGAGAATGTGGAGCTCACTTCAATTGCTAATTTGAGCTCTTCACTTAGTAGATTGCTACAATTTGATGATCTGAACTTGGTTGGCCCTGGTTTCTTGAGATCTACTGCGACAAAGAAGTTGCTGGTATGGAAAGGTGACGTTTTGAAGGCATTGGAGATGACCGAATCTGAAATTGATTTGCTTGAAAATGAGCTAAGGTCACTGCTGCCTAAATTTGGAAGTAATTATCCTTGTCCGGCATCATCTAGTTCTATGGCAATGAAATGCCAAACAAAACCTTGTGAAGAAGTAGGCGCTATCTCTAATTTAATTTCTAGACCAGCTCCATTACAGGTATTTTCTGGAGACATGATCGTGGAGAAGGCTGTCCATGACTTGGAAGAACACACTGAAGTCAAAGATCAGGATATTGATAGTCCAGGCACTGTTACGTCTAAATTTATTAAACCTCTTTCTGTGAATCTTGCCACTCTTCCTACTGATGTCAATTCACATTGCAAAGGGGAAGATAAATTATATGATTTAATACTGGCTAGAAACAAAGATTCTGCATGTAGAGCTTCCGAAGCATTTAAGAACTTATTACCGCCGGACCAAAGTCATATTGATATCTTGGGAGCTAATGGTGTTTCTTGCGGGCAGAATAATCCATTGATTAAGGAAAGGTTTGCAACGAGGAAGCGCTTTTTGAGATTTAAAGAAAGAGTTAGGACCCTCAAGTTTAGGGCACTTCAGCACCTCTGGAAGGAAGATGTGCGTTTGCTTTCTGTAAGGAAATATCGTGCAAAGTCGCAGAAAAGGTCTGAACTAAGCTCGCGCACAGCACACATTGGCTATCAGAAGCATCGGTCTTCCATACGATCGCGGATTTCTTCTGGTAAGAAATGTGTTATTATTTCTGCTTCACGCTAGTAATTTATTTTTTGGCAACTTCTCAGCTTATTGTTGGCACTGGAATTAATTATCTTTCTAACTTTAGTCAATTTTATTCCACACTAGTTTTTAATGCTTGGGATCAGATTATGAAGGCTTCTCTCTACTGAATCTAGCTTTAATGTCCAAGTCTGACCTTCATTATCTATTTTGGAGAAGCTTTCAAAATTCCAAAATGCAATGTACACGCACACATACGCACACACCCACTCTGCAGCCACACACACACACACAGGTTTCTTACTTCATATTTATATATATTGATATTGCCATTATGTCTTGTGTAACTATAAAATACCGGTTTCAGAAGACATCATTGATCTTGCTTGAAAGTTGCTTGTATGAATGATGAATTGAGCTAAAAACAGAAGTACGCAACTGATCTGTTTCTTTTTTGGGTATAAATATTGAATTGTATGGTTTAAACTTGAATAGAGAGATGTTACAATGATTTTTTAGTTTTGAGATCATCAATATAATTATCTTGACATGATAGGATATTGGTGTTGGTATGGTCACTATATGAAATATTTAAACTTTGGCCTAGCTCGGAGTTTATTTGTGGGAGATGTGACTCATTGGTTTCAAGGTTTATTTGAAGGGAGAAGTTCTCGGGGAGAATGAGTGTACTTAGTGTTTGAGGTTTTTTCTCTAGGGACGACTTCCTGCAGTGTACTTTATTGGGCTCGAGGTTTATCCGAGGGTAAGAACTACTTGAGGTATTTAAAGTTTAGTTTGAGGATTATCGTGGAAAAGCTCCTCAAAGTGCCCTTAGATTAATTTAGGAGGTTTACATGTGGAGAAGTTCTCCTTGACTTTTGTGTTGCTTTCAGTATAAACCTTGCTTATGCCATGTGGGCCAACATTGATGATATGGCATGTGCTATGTGGAACAGCGCGTGGACCATACCCTCACTGTATAACTTATTATTTCTTTTGTTTGCTTCTTTTTATTAATTGTTATTTTATTGTTTCAAATACTGTTTAATAAGTATTTGGTATATCTTTAATTTCACACCTTAAACAAATGCAATATTTCTTGCTGTTCTGAAGTAATTTCTGATACTAAAATCATTGAATTATATTTTATATATTGTAGATAATATGATAGTGCTTCATATCTCGAGCGTATTATCAATAAGTCCCTGGTTCGGGCTAGTGTAAGATAAGAGCTATGGGGGTTTATGCTCATATCAAGATTCTTTAGAAACAGCCACACATCGTCAGATTATTTAGTGATGCAGAGCAATAGGTGGAAGGAGCTTGTACTGGCCACTTTCGTTGATGAACATCATGCTTATGTATCATGCAGTTTCCATTATGTTCCAACTTGAAAACATATAATTATTCTTCAGACCACCTGTTTTACAAGTATTCTATTCTTGCATTCTTTTTTTTTTTTGTTTTTTTCCTAGTTGGTGGTACTTGCACACACTTGTCTCTTCCGAGACTTGAACCTCTGACCTTCCTTTGGAAAGTAAGAGACTGATACCGCTAGGTATTCTAAATTGTTGGCTAGGCAATTGGTGATGTACAGAATATGTTTTGCTTTTGCAAGCGAGATTGCAATAGCAATTTGTGCAAAAGTAAATGTGAGTGTAATATAGTTCTTGATGTGCTATGATGCATTTTTAGGCCTCATGGAATTGATTCGACTACAAGTATACACCTGGAGCTTTGTGTCTGAATGAAACTTCATAGTAGTTTCTACACAATGTTTGTGACGGGTGGCAGTTTGTGTTGCCATGTTGTAATCATTTGAGGGCGAGCCTTGGCGCATTGGTTAGGTTACTCCATTATGACTTGGAGGTCACCGGTTCACAACCAGGAAACAACTTCTCTGCATGCAGAGTTTAAGCTATGTACATCTAACCCTCCAGCTATGTGTATAGTTGTTAAAGGCTCAAGGCGCACCAAGGTGCCAAGGCCTCTTGGAGCTTGAGCCAGTGCGCGAGGCGCAAGGTGAGGTGCGCGCTTGACTGAACAGAGTGTCAGATGGTTTCTCAATACAGACAGCAAACAATAATTCCACAACCAAACAGATGTCAGATATTTCATTATGTAGGGATTAAAAAAACATTAATTCCACACAGCTTAACTTTATACACATGTTTGATTTCCTTTTGGATCAGCTTAGTTCGTTAGTGTGTGTTTATGTCATTTATATATGAGTTTTAGAAACAAATTAAAGCATAAGACCACAAAAAGGTTAATCTCAGAGCTATTAGCAAGTATGTAGCATATCCTTCAAATGATTTTCTCATTTACTTCTAGTAACCTTGTTATATCCACAACTGGTTTACGTTTCCTCTCTCGTATATATTTTCGATTACTCCCTCCTCAATTTAAATGTCCCTTTTGGGATTTTAACTTTTTTCCTTAGATCACATTATTCAATGAACAAAAGGAAAAGCCTGACGAGAAAGCTTGCCGTGGTAGAGATGCGGCCGGAGTCTACTGCTCTGACCAGTCATCGGAGTCTTTAACTCCGGTGAAATCCTCTGCTGCTATTTTCTTTTTGCGTTTCCCTTTTCTTTGTTGGGTTTGTTGTTTGCGTTTTCTGTGGACTTCTGGACTGGTTTTTTCATGAAAGCCCTTGACAGTTAGACATTGTCGTTTTTGGAGGTCGCTCGTCTCCCTCGCCTGGATCTGAAAGGAGAGGTGGTGCACGTTCCTTCGCCCACTGATCATGTGTTTAGGGTGGACGCTCAAAGCACCTCCGCTCGTGAACGCGTACTTAGGGCTTGCCTTGTTAGGAGATTTGATAGAGAAGTGGGGTTTATGGAGAATATCGAAGATTGGGCCACGAAGACTTGGTTGATTTCGGGTGTGGTTAGGGTTTCGATTTGATAGAGAAGTGGGGTCTATGGAGAATATTGAAGATTGGGCCACGAAGACTTGGTTGATTTCGGGTGCGGTTAGGGTTTCCTCTCTAACTGACGGGCTGTTGTTGCTTCGTTTCCCGTCGGTTTTGGAGGCACAGAAGGTCTTAGGTTGGGGAAAGAAAACATGGGGAGAGGCGCAGCTTTACATTGATCTCTGGTACTACAGGGTTGGTTGTTACGGGTTGAGACTAAAGGATAACCACCGGAGAGTCATCATGTATGGCTTGCCAGTGCATCTGTGGTGTCAGAAGCTTTTCATCGCCATTGGAGATGTGTGTGGAGGTTTTCGGGATGTTGAGGCATACGAGATGAGCGACACGGAGAGGATTGTGATCACCGTAGCTGACGGTGGTGTGATTCTGGAGAATTTTGAGACTAAAGGATAACCACCGGAGAGTCATCATGTATGGCTTGCCAGTGCATCTGTGGTGTCAGAAGCTTTTCGTCGCCATTGGAGATGTGTGTGGAGGTTTTCAGGATGTTGAGGCATACGAGATGAGCGACACGGAGAGGATTGTGATCACCGTAGCTGACGGTGGCATGATTCTGGAGAAATTTGTTGTGGAGGACGGATGATGGGCTTTCAAAATCTCTTTATCTGAAGAAATTGCTCCGTCCTTGGTTCCGTTGACCAGGTCCTGTGACGGAAGAGGCGACGCGAGACCACCGACGGCGTCGGATAGAGGATCACGTCTGTCACGCAGATCTGGTTTCGGGGTTGGATGTGCGCCGGAGTTGTAGATGATGGCTTTGTAGGACAACCGTCATCAAAGTTAGGGACGCGTGAGGAGTAACGCGCTCAAGGCGAGTGGAAGTGGGAAGGAAGCAGCGAGGACACGTGGTTGGAGGAGAAGCGACTACCGTTGTGAGTGGAGGACAGCTGCTCCACCACGTGCTGTGTCGCGTGATGCTAGGGGTGATTTGAATGTTGCATTTGCTGGCCAGACAGTGTTGGGCCTATTCAGCGTGGGTCGAACTTTGCGGGCTCGAGAGGAGCTGGTCGGATCGTGCAGGAGAGGGCTGGGTCTGGGTCTGGGCCTGGGCAGTCTTCAAAGGTTGATAGGTGGGTTGGACATGTTGGTCTCAAGCCTGCTGTGTCATTAGCCTTTTCTGGGCCTGCTCAGGTTAAGAAAAATTCTTCTAAGGGCAGGGTTGTTAGTTGGGGCCCAAACCATTGTCTTTCAGTTTCCATTCGAGGTGGGCAGCCCAACCCGGCCTCTGATCTTAAGAACAACATTGATGTTAACGAGCAGGACATGTCACAGAGCTTGGACCGGAGATCCTGGTTGAGGAAGGAGAAGATGAACTGGGCAAAGGTGAGTTTGCTCAAGACGAAGGGCGATGGGGTTTGCCCAAAGAATTTTCGGCATGGAAGGCGCTGTCAGAAGTTGTCCTCGGGGAATAGGTTCGAATCGCTTCAGTCGGGACCTTTGGGCGAGGATGGGATTGGTGCCTGCGCATCCACGAAAGAGGATGGCCACTCCTCGAGCTATTTGACCTAGTCCAACAAGAAATGGACTAGAAATGATAAATAGAAGTGGGTCGCCCGCAAGGCTCCTACCTCTTGTCCGGGTATGTTCTCTGTTTCCTGTGTTTGGAGCTCTCCCTTTGCTCCTCCTCTTTCTACTCCTCCTCGTGGGATGTTGAGAAGTGATGGGGGGGCAGCTCTTTTTGGGAGGCCTCTGTTGTCGCCAATGGTAGAGGTGGATTCTGTGGAGTAGGCAAGTGATTTGGATGGTTCTGGGTTTAGGTTTGTTGGGCCGTCAGAAAGGGATGGGGCGGTAAATTTGCTTGGTGACGGGGGCTTTGATTGTCTTTGTGGCGGTCAAGCTGAGGCTTGTCCGGATTTTCTGTCCTTTTCTTGGCATAATGATTGAACAAGGGAGGTGTTGGAGAGGCAGGTCAAGCCCTCTTTGGGTGGAATGGAAGTTTTGGGTTCACTTATGGATGGTGGTCCGGTGATATCTCTGAAGGGTATTGTGCCAGAACTGCTGACTGTTTGTGTTGGCAAGGATATCCGTATTTCTCTAAGTGATGAATCAGCCTCTTTGTTGTTTAA